AAATTTTTAATAACTGATAAAATTTAGTATTGTTTGCATATTTATATTTCAAAAAAATTCTTTTTTATAACATCTAATTTATAACCTCAAATTATTAGTAAAACAAGATATTATGTTAAATAAATAAGGACTTAAGCTGAACCTTCGAGGAGGTCAAGTGAAACTATAGGTGTTAGTGTAGCTTACATTATATAGTTGTTTCGTAAAAGTGTAATACACCTAAAGTACTAAGAAGAAGTCCCTTTCAAAACTAAAAAGAAAAGTTCACTGAGGTTACAGGAATCAGATTTTTGAAACCCTATAACTAAGATTAAATAATTTACCTACTTCTAACTTTATCCATAAAAGATGTAAATAAAAGATGTAAAAACCTTTGGTTTTTGTGGATGATTAAAGATACATTACAAAAGTTTAGCTTTATGGTTATTTTTAATATAAGCTTTATTGAGTAATAATGATGTTTATATTACTTTCCGAATAGAATTGTAAAAATAGTTTGAAATCTTATAGTATATGAATAGATTTATAGACTTTCGCTAACTATAAAAATATTTTATTGATAATGAGACCTGTCTCAATAATTTTTATCCGCAGAGGTTGACCAACAAGCTATGAGAGAGTGTTTGTAACGACATTTTCAGTAGAACATTCAAACCCTCAAAACTCCTGTCACAGCCAACCTCAACCCTAGGGAGGCCTGAAAAAACCCCTATTTGGATTGTCCTTGTTGGCTTCCTTAATCACTTTAAATTTATTCCAGTCCTTATACCTCTGTTAATATTTCAAAGGGTTAAACTCTGAAGGCCAATTTCGTAAAGCACGGGGAAAAGGTCCGAGGAGAGATCCACTAGCGTGGTTAAGTTTGAGTCATTTCGTTATGTTTTTTTATAATGGCAATACCAAGTACATCTGAGACCCCTTTTGTAAATATGTGTGTCTGATCTAAAAGACCGGAAACAAGAAAGCCTCTTTTTTCAGCGTAGTTGTACAGTTTAATCCATTAGGGTTTCCCACTTTACTATTCCAAGAAGGATATTTGCAATTTAAATCCCTGGAAAGAATTCCAGTTACACGTTGGTTAAAAATACTGACCCGTTCTTTAGGTAACAAAAGCAGTCCCGGAGACTTGCATGCGGGAACGATAACCATCTTCCCTTGGCCATAAAGATTGATCTGATAGTCACTGCTTCAATAAGTTTTAAGTTGGCTTGCGGTGTAAAACGAATGAGCTATCTGCTTTTTAATTATAATGACTGCTTCCCCTTTTTTCTCAAGTAGGTTCTGTCATGTCAGTAAAGCTCGTAATTGGAAAAAGTTATAAGGTGTCCTGATTTTAGATGATTCTCACTTTTTAAAGAATTATCAAATTTCTGACTATTACGAAAGTGTTAAAATTCTTCTCTTTTGCACAGAAGACCCTCCGCGTTCCAAAATAACATGCGAGCATATTTAGCTGACATTGAGAGGTTAACATAAAGAGTTCAGAAGAAGATCATATAACATTCTTGTTGCTAAAATTGTCGTTTTTATATTATTTAAATGATGTTCATAGTCCTTTGACTTTGGCTTCATGTTAACGGCAATGGCGTAACTCTTCTTGTTGACTAGTGAATACTTTCTGAGAAAAAAGTTCTTTATTTTGAGCAGCATTCTTGGAAGGTGTGCCGTTAATTGCCTGGGAGTTTGACTCTGTTGTGATTTGTTGAGGTGCGCATTTGAGAACTTCTTGGGTGATAAGGGCAACATCGACACTCAATGGTGTGCTTGCCTTGACAGTTAGCGCTATTCGGAGGGACATCAGGCATCTTCGTGCAGCTACCATTTTCATGGTTGCTTCCACATTTGATACACTTAGAGGCAGAGGTACAGAAGGTATAATTACGGCCAAAAAGTTAACAGCGGTGGCACTGGTCAATTACTTTTGAATTCTTAAGTCCTTCAAACGAAATTTAAAGATGACGAACTGAAGTTATTTTGTATATCGAGCCTTCGGATTTTGGCAACTGTACGAGTACTAAAAGAAGAGCTTTTCGTTCTTTCCAATAACTTTCAGACGAACAATCTTTAGTGGATGAAAACCTTGACTGCGTAAATCTTCCTCAACCGCGCTACTGTCAAGTTCGGGGGAAAAATTACTTTCAGTACCACTTTTAAAAGTCTATCCTCAGGAAACCGATAAACTGTAAAACTCGTAATTACTTTCTAATAATAATTTTCTGGGCCTGTTGAAAATTATTAGAGGAAGACAGCAATAAGGATATTTTTAGAAGAAAATTGGTCACGTTTCTTATACGTAATAGGGACTACACCTGGCCAACGTAGTTTCTCACGAATATTTTCGGGTGAAACATTTTCCTTGTCTCCGGAAAGTTTTTCGCAGTTAATATGTTGAGTTTTCTGTTCTGTGGGGTGTGGTCGATTGGAAAACTGAGTGTTTAAGTTTTGAGTAGTTAAATCACCCAGTAAAGGCGGTAATCCGTTTGTATCGGTGCTTTTGCTTTGTAAGATAGAAGCAGAAAATGAATCTGAGCAGGCATTGGGTAAAGGAGCAGGTTTGCAAGAGATTGAAATAGCATTTAGCTTGTTTTTGCTAATAGCTGTAAAGGGAACAGATTCTAGCTCGTTAATTCTCTTTTGCGCTATTTTTAATTCTTTTTATAGCTTTTCATTTATGGCTACTATCTCAGTGATGTAAGCTGCGGGATCTTTACCAGAAGAAACAAGAGACATGTTAAGCAATATATATAAGTAAATAAAGTAATATAGTAAAAAATAAAAATTAATATATATAAGTTAACTGAGTAAGACAGATATATATGAAGAGTATTGATTTAGTCTTAGTTTATACATTAAAATAGAGTAGTGATTAAAGTTTTCGTTGTAGTAATAAAACATGAAAATAAGTTATTTATAGCAAATCCCTAGTAAAAAGTATAGGCGCACAGCCACATCCAAAATCGGCAAGAGGACTGGGCAAGAAAAAAGTTTCTATAAAGAATTCTGAGAACCTTTTAGCTTTATTAAAAGATATCAAACTAGAAAGTAAAGACATTATTGTTCACTAGATATAGAATCGCTTTATACAAGTATTCCAATAGAAAATTTATGGATTTCTGTAGAATTCTTTCTAAAAGAGTCTCCAGGCCAAAATTTTTTTGTAGATACTATGAAGCGATCCATCTTTTATTATATAATAATGTCTTTAATGTTATGTTATACTAAGAACTAAACGGGAATCCCATGGGTAATACCGCTGCCCTCAGCCTTCGTTACTTCATATTCGATGTATTATGAAGCTTTAAAGTTTTATAAATTCTCTCCTTATATAAAGTTATATCAAAGAAATATATGGATGATACAGACTCATATGGGTAACAAAGGAAGTTCAACTTACGGACTCTATCAGCCATATGCCACATTGTACTAAGCTAAACTGGACTTTGGAGATAAACCAGGACAGTTCCATTTCCTTTCTAAATTTATATAATTATAGAATGGTTCATACAACTACTGAAAAGGAACTCAACTTATATCTTTATTAACCGTGCGCTCCCCCCCCCCCCTAGTACTATAAAAAATCTTATTACTACTTTAACTCGCGGGAATAAGATTTATGTGCTTTAAGAGAATTTATGGCTTCTTACTGAAAATTTCTACGAAAGACTCCTGAAAAAAGACTATAATAGTAACTTCCTAAATCTTTTACTGGTTCGTACCATTAAAGAAGTTTAAAAAAAACTTTATACTACCTCCTCAGAAACAAAGAGGTTGTTATCCTTAGATCCATGCATAACTTATACGGTATTAAAGTAATAAGGAGAGACTTTTATGTTATATCATCTATGCTGATGAACTAGAACAAATTTCTAACTCAAAATCTCAAAACTCATTATAGCATACAAATAACCTTCTAATCTAAAAAGTATGTTTTTTACAAAAATTAATTGGAGAATAAGTTGTGGACATGTTTTATAATATACCGGATTGGCGAAAAAGTTGTTTACTTGCATTTTATAAGGTTTCATCTACTCAAGCAAGTCGGAAATATCTGTTTTTAATTGGAGAAAATAAGATTCATTGCTTGGATCTTGTCCCAATTTATATAGTTTCTAACCTTTTTAAAATATAACAGGGGATAGCCACTGAAGGATAGTACCCACTCGAATAGGGTTACTACTTAGCGATCTCTAGCGAAGACTGTACTCAGGAGTTCTGTGCTCACATAAGTTACTTTTTACTTAAAATTAAAAATCAAGCCCGTAGCAAACCAGTCCTATAAATTATTCAGTTGAACTCAACTTTAATATAAGCTTATGGAGTTGAAGTTACTGCTGCTTCACTATATGATAAAGTCAAGAATGAAGAGCTTCTGCTATTATTTCAAGTTAAATTCACTAAATAAATAAGTGCATAGTTAAACACCAAAGACTTTATAGTAGAGATATAGTACAAGGGGAGAGCAGCAAGAAGGAATAGATACTTGCAATAGTCTGAACTTTATAATGCCAATATTAAACTGCTATCAGTATTAAAGAGATATGGTGACGTTTCGACGGTACAATGAATACTAAAAATACTGTTTTGAAGTGAATGACTTATTTATAGGGCGAAGTACAAGTATAATAATGTAAACAATTAATTTAATTTAATAATTTCGGCTTTCACAAGTCGTACATTAAAAAATAGTACAACCAAAAACAAGTCTGCGTGATATGAGCTCGATGAAGCTTAGTATCCACTGCGAATCTCCATTTTTTAGTGTTTTTTTTGGCCGTAATATAAGTATCAGAAGTTCCCGATGGACTTTCTATACTTATAACAGTAGAAGGCGAAGTCTCCGGGTTGCTCAAAGTATTTTAAGCAGTAGGTAAAGACGAGTTGAACTCATTTTTACTACTATCAACACCAGCAAAAGAAGGCGTTAAAGTATCCGGTTAACTCAACAAATAGCATTTATTCTTATTAGATTAATTAAAGTCTTCTTTCATTTCGTTATGAGCGCAGAATCATTCATATAACGTAAAATTTTGTAGTGAACCCCCGAGCAACAAAGAAAACCCTCATCGAGTATATCACTAGTAAAATATAGGAAGAATATTAAAAAGTTGGAAACTCGGCAATACTTGTAAGGAAATATTAAAATGACAATATTTTCTAAAGGGAAGAGCAAAAAGCGCCGGGCCCAACCTCAGTTAAAAGGATTTTGCCTCAAGTTTCTGATTGGTTATTTATAAAAATTATAAAAATACTTAATAAAAAGTGGAAAACTTATTACAAGTCAACTGCTAAAAGTGTGAGTTAAGCGATACAGAAAATAATAACGAAAAGTAAAATAGCCTCCAAGCTAATAAAAAAATTAAATAATAAAAAAAACTTGAAGGAGTAATAAATAATTATGAGTAACATAACTTCGCTTTATTAGAAAAATGTACAAACAAATCTAAAAAAAATGCTCTTCGGATGCTCACGTGTAAGTGCAATAAAAATAATGAAAGAAACCAAGTAAAATTATTTAAACAAGAAAACATACCGGAAAGACAAGTTTTTCAACGCCCAGAAAGGACGCGAAGGTATATTTTTATGGTGTTCCAAAAAGACCCCTTTGATTAATATACATTCAATTTGTAACATAAATATTATTATAAGCAATATTTACTCTTTTATTTAGTATATAATTTACCGTGCCGCATAATAATAGTTTTTTAAATAATTTAAAAAATAATTTTTAGGCCCACCTCCTTTCTCAAGTCCCTGCTTCTCTTAAAGTTCTACGCCCCAGCAGCCCTTGTCTCTGTAGACTTACGCTCTGGAAGCCCTTTCTTTCAACTTTTCCGCCGGAACTCTGCCGAATTTTTGTCATATACAAACTTGGATAAACTTGATAGCTCCAAACCTGGAGGGTAAGGGTCCTTGCACTGACCCCCAGTGTAAATGAATGCGATTGGGTTTGCAAAGGATTGAGCCCAATACAGCTGACATTTCGGTGCCTGCAAAACAATATGCCCGTGCTACCAGCCCCCTTAGGCTCTCTTTTGGTGATCAGGCTATTAGCTACGTACTTACCACCGATGCCCCCCTATAGCGTGGGAATCGCCTCTTTACAGTGTGAAAGCAAATCGACTCGATTCGATCCTACCTCAAGCACAAACTGTACTTCTTGTCTCTCAGAATATCCAAGTGGACAGGACTACGCGAACAAAGTGATGGCATCATAGTATTCTACATTGTGCAATGTGGGCTTTATTAGTGACGAGAACACATTGGTCGCTTATATTTAGCGGTTTACCCGGGGAATACTCCAAGGTCATTGATATATATTTTCTCACTCTAAACCTTCTTTTTAGGGTGCTGATACGGTGATCCTAGATAATTAACTTAGAATCGCTATTTAGGTTGACAATGTGAATACTGTGCTTGCGGCGGGGACAAGACGCGAGATAAAGGAGAGAATGAGAAAAGGAAGATCCAATGGCGTGTTCTGGGTCTGTAACGGAGTTTCTCAAAGAGTTCTTGCGAGGTCAGGACACTCCCCAGCGGACTGCCAACTGTGTGCTTCTTGCGAAAAATACGAGAAATTTCTCTCCTTAAGCATAAAGAGCATAGGAACCATAAGCGGCGATAGTGTGATCTGGAGAGTAATATCATTAGTTATGCACATACAGAAGTTCCCTTGGCTCTTTGGTTGGGCGCCTCGGGCATACTTTGAAGCGTTTGCTGATGAGCGTTTCAAGAACAATACCGCTGAAAATTTTAATAACACCGACACCTATGAAGCTACTGTCTGTGAGTATTGCCAAAAAGCTAAGGGATGACGACTGAACTTTGCTCAAGAAAACTGGTTAAAAGCTACATGGGTTTATGAAATAGTGTACTTTGACATTGTAGGACCATTTACTTCTGCAGCGTAGGGTGGTTATTGGCATGCATTGTCTTTTGTCAGTGCTTTTACAAGGAGTTTTCTTGGTACCCTCGGAGACAAAGAGTGATGCTTTTAAGAGTATACCTAGTAACATCAACGGTGTAATACGTCCCAATTAAAACGTTAAGGTAACTTTACACTGCGACTATGCAAAGGAATTTTATCACCAGGGCTTGTTGACCGATTAATCTCTAAAAGTATCACTGTTGCATATAATCCACACCATACCCTACAGCGCTATGGAATGCTGAAAGAAACATACAGGCAGCATTTAACATGATGGGAGCTTTGTTATATGGTTCTGGTCAACCGAAGTACCTCCAGGGGAAAGCTCTATCATACTGTTCGCAAAATAAGATTTTCTAAGTACAGGTCGTAACGCCCACTCTACTACTTATCAATTAATAAGTTCACGAAAACCGAACATGAGGAGTTTTCGCCTTTTTAAAGCGAGCTTACATGTAGAATTGTACTCCACGTGGAAATCTTGGAGATAGAAGCATAAAAGGGTTTTTCATCGATCTGGATCCGGAGGGATACTGCTTTTAAACTTGGGACCCCAAAGCTTCTACAATACTAAGCAACGGAGATTTAACCTTTGTTAAGTCCGTTGTATACAAAAATGCACTGGATTTACCCGCAAACCAGGATTCTGTTCCTACATGATCAGTAACACTTGACAAGGCAAGTGTTGTACGTTTGCGGGATATACAGGAATCAGACACAGTACCAAAACTCAGCGCTGAGGATGTACCTAAGATGAACCGATGTCCCCCTCCTCCGACAAACCCGGGATATGCCCCAACTACGGTCAATATTCATCCTGAAATAGATGGAAACGCATCCGCCGAAACTACTATACCTTTTGAAAGTTCAATTCCAAGTACAACTGTGGGTTTGAAACACTGAAGTAGACGAATTGCCTCAAGTCAAGCTAGTGTACTCGAGAGTGTGGACAAACAAACCAAACTTGAGGATACTAATGCACCTATAATTTTGCGTTTTTATCCTATGCCCTTACTACACATGCCAGGGAGGTACCAGAACCCAGAACATATCGCGAAACCCTGGATGGCACGGTTTAAGGTCAATGGATAAAGTTCATTCAGCATGAATTTGGTTATCATAAAAAAACCGAACTTGGAAACCTGCTTCTCTCATAGCTAGACTCAAGAAAATTGGCTGCAAGTGGGCCTTCCAAGTGAAAAATAATGCTGATGGCACCAGTGATCGATGCAAGGGCCGCATCTGTGCTAAGAATACATGCAAATATACGGAGACGATCTACATACTTTTAGCCTAAACGACAACATTATTTGTATGGATACTACTATGTCTGGCAGCAAGATTAAACATGCAAGTTTTTCAATGTTAATGGTACCTTCCTGAGGGTGCTAACCTGGCGAAAGGATATAACTGTGCGCGTCTCCTCAACTCAGTACTTGGACTGAAGCAATCTAGATTGAGATGGAACGCGACAATGCACGAAGACCTCCTTAACTCCGACTTCATCCAGGACCATAGCGACTATTGAATGTACACAATAGGACACTCCTCTTCTACACCTTTTATACGTTGATGACTGCCTAGTAGCGTCGACCAGCAAGGAAAAAAGTGACGTGCTCATTTCCTACATAAAGTCGAGTTATGATATCGAAGTACTGGGAAGACAACCTGAATGCTTGAAGATTATGCAGACACATGAAAGGCAGTTTTGGAGTTCACTCTGACAAATAACGTTCTCATACCACGTGTCTTTTCGATTGAGTGCCCCGTGATTGTGTCACAACACTTGTTTCTGCTTGTCCCACGTTTCATACAATTTTTATTTCTTTCCAGAAGGTATATCCTGTACGGGACAATAAACTAATTGCTCCTCCTCTTTTCCTCCGTCATTTTGAAAATGGTAAACTATAATATTTCTTCGTAACCGATTCAAGTAATAGTGTCCTTTTTAAAAGATAAATTTTTAAAGTCAAAGTAGAAACCTTAACCTCGATTCGTACTCTCTTTCTGCAGGTGTCCCACAGGGATCCCTTTTGTCACCTCTGCTGTTTTTATCTTCACTTCTGATATCTCAACTGTCAGCACTGTTCCCCTTGCACGGTGTGCGGATGGCACTGCGATCTACACAATTTCTAAATCAGCCCTGTTGACCATAGAAATATGCAATCATACTTAAAACATTTGGAGTTGCTTTGCATTCCGTTATCTTTAACTAACCCGACAAAATGCAAGGCCTTACCGATCTCGCTAGAAGGAAGATCGTCAGGGGACAATGTACGATTGTCTGATAGAGGTCTCCTCTGGTGCTAGCAGGGCTATAAGTATCTTGAAGTAGTTATTGACCATAGATCCAAGTGGGACGCTCACTTAGACTACTTAACTAACAAAATAAGAATCAGAAACTAGAGTGACGTCTTACAGCCCTTACTTTGTAAATAGAGCAAGTTAAATCTTAGTAATAAGCTGCTTCTATATATGCATTTTAAGACCTTTACTCACATAAGCGTCTTCTTTGTGAATCCGCTCTTCTAGGAATCAGTTAAATAGGATACACATCCTACAAAATAATTTTCTTCGGCTGTGTACCTACACCTCGTGGTTTATAAGGAACTCGCGTTTGCTCCGAGACTCTAAGATTGAATATACCACAGAATTGATTGAAAAAACGCAATAAAACGCTTTGAGCACTCACTCTAACAAATTACTATCTACGATAATAACCTACAGTCCTCGATGGTATACCAAATATAGGAGACCTAAGCGATAGTAATCTGGTGGCAAAAAGCAACATAGAGTATGGTAAGAATGTGCTTGAGAGCGCCACCCCCCCCCCCCCCCCCCCACCCTCGGCCATTATCTATGAGTAAAGAATAGCTATCCTTATTCTTTAGATGATCTCTGATATTAATATTTTATCAGCTTTTCTAATACGCTATTAGTTCGCATAATACCGCTCTCTTCTCTCGAATACTTGCATCAATTCCGGATTAAAAGCTTAAGTGTTATCCGCTCTTTGTTGGTTTAGTTATTGCTATTATAAAAATGATGCAAACTTTACCTAACACGTTAAGCTAAATCGTTTTTTATAAATCTTTTTTAATAGATACAATTGCTTACGTAAAATAATATAGTTATAGGCCATTATAAAGATATAATAATCTATATGCAGGTTTTTGTTACACAAAAATTTTTATAGTATAACTGTTTAACTATTGATGCTTTTCCATACTTTTGTTTACCAATATATTTCTTTTTTTATATTCTCTATTGTAGTCCCCTATTCAAAAGTAAGCCTTTTTAAAGATCGGCAAAAAAAAGAATAGGCCTCCAAAAATTATATATTAATCCTCCAATCGAGATTGAGAAAAGTATACCAACTCTCAGGTTAAACACTTGGGTGAATGAAAAAAAAAATTTAGCAAATGATCAGGTGATAAGCATAAACTCTCAAAATTAGATAAAGCAATCAGAATAAAGTAAATATCGTAGGTTTCCTGCAAGTTTGTTTGTTATTTAGATGTTTACAGTAAATAGAAAAGTTTATTTTCTGTTGAGATACCATTAACCCTCCTCAACTTTTTCTTTTTAAAATAAATACCCTTTGTATTTATTAAACTTCTCGGATCATATAACCAAATTAAGATATTATAACTGCTAAAGCGCAATACTACACCTACAAAAAAGCTAAATTGACGCAGTATTCCTACTTCTTAATTTACCTAAAGATATATTATGAAAGCACGTTCAGAAGCTAAACTTTAGCCTTAAAATGTTTTAAGTTTTAATTTTTATTCATAAATCATAACAATCGGCTTTTAGACTTAAAAACCTATAAATTAAATGGGAAAAAAATTTTAAATTAAAAATAATAGTGTAGCATACTATATCAACTTGACTTTTAATTTTTTAATAGTATTTTAGATTTGAGTAAGTATCATATGCTCGTACTAAATCGAAAACCGTTTAGCTACCCTGGACTGTTTTTTAAATAGGAACTCCCGTACAGCTTTTAAGTTTTTTTACAAAAATAATAACTAAGCATTTTTACGCTATCTTTTATAAAAACTTTGAAAAGTCTACTGGAGTGTAATATAAAAAATTATAGCACAGAATTTCTAAGAAACATATAATTATTGTAAGTTCACTTTACTTTTAATAAAGTAAGTTTGGGAAAACCTGCTGTTTAACATTACTGTTTGATACAATTCACCGTATAGTAGACGACTAGAAAACATAGGTTTCGCTGGTCAATAGTAACCAGTCCAAAAATTATATAAGATTGCTTTGTTTAACCAAGTCCTTTACATTATTGTGGGTAGTTTAAAAAGTATTAAACATACACGAGAATTTTTACTAAATCACCACAAACTCCTTTACTGTTTAGTGTATAAGCAGGTATAGATAAAAAGAAAATAAGCCCCAGCTGTACCTCTAACTTAGTATATATCTTATATAAGGGGGTAGCTTTATAAAAAACTCAAGTAGTAGTTTTCCCTTAATAAGTTAAGTGGATAAGGCTTTGTTGTTCACCTTTAAAATTACGGAAGTGACTTCTCGGTAAAGTTTTTATGCCCTATTTGTTTTATTCCAAGACTTTACAGATAACGAATAGGGTTACCTATTAATTCTCACAACTTTACACAATGGTTTATTATTTGTTATTAAAGTATAACAGTTTTTTTCCGTCTTAGAAAAGTCAGCTTACTCGCCTTTTTAAAAAAAAACAAATCTTATCAATGTAAGTCTACTAGTTATTTTTATAATTATCAAAAGCACCTTTAAAAGTATTAGTAAGCAGTTGCCATGCCTACAGAGCTCTGAGGTTTAAAGTCTTACCACTGTTTAACTAAAATATGTCTGGGCCCGTTGTTAACCTCAAATGACTTTCTGTCTTTTATAAGCTCCTCTCACAGCACGAGCGAGGGCCAACAGTAGTTAACGATAGTGCCACATCCTCCAGTATAGCAATTAATTTTGACACGTCTAATTAATGCGGATTTATATAACCGAATTTTCCCAAACACTTAAAAATTTTTTGAGTAAATGTTTTACTTAATATTATATATACAATGCCGGCGCACCTCTTCAAGTATATATTTATATATGATGAGTAGTTTTGTGGAAGCTGAATTGGAAATATGCAATGATATTATACAATTGCAAAATAAGTAGTCTGCGCACAATTTCACCGTGTATCTGCACAAACCATTAATAAGAAGAAAAGTCAATTTCTCATACTCTTCTAACTATTTATTTTCATAAAAATCAATTAAGTTCAAAAAAAGGAACCTGTTACGAAATTCCTTATATTAAATAACTTGAACTTAGTAAAGATAAATCTGCAACTTTAAATTATATTATATCCAATAAACTTAGGCATATGTCCCGCAGTCTCTGATTATAAAGTTGTAGGGCGTTACAATAAAGTTTTTAAATCAAAAAATGTTGATCTATTTTATTTGGTAGCTGTCGCTAATAGGCACTTCTCGTCCTATCATTTTTGCATTCAACAAACAATTTTCTGGTGTATATTTATTTTTAAGTCGAATTGTTTTTGGTATATCCTTTATTCTAATCTTTACTTTATCAATACAACCTATATAAGCAAAAAACTTATTCTATAGTATCTATATGTATACTAAGTTAAAGTAAAACCTTGCTTTTTTAACTCTTTAAATACATACAATCTTCGGTTGTTAAGGGAATAAAGAAAGTTTCCTTCATCTTTGTAAACTGTTATTATTGGTATATCTTCCACATCAAGTTTGCCTGTTTTCACTAAAAGTATAGTATCCATAACCAACTTACCTACGGGATATATGGCATAAAAAGGAAATAATTAGTTTATACTATAGCCTGCCGTAGCCCGTAGAACTATAGGTTTAATAACAGTTGATAAACTGTAAAGTTGGTAAAGCAGTAAGGGATTATTATAAACTAAAAGACTGAAGAATCCACTATTATAATAATAATAATATTAAAGAAAGAACCTCCATACCATCTGAAAATTGTGGTCTAATTTTAGAGTAAGTAAATCTGATAGTTAACGGATCCACGAAAGCAGTATTGACAAATAGCTCCGAAGAGTCTTGAAAAAACTTCTTCTTTTCTTTCAAAGAGGGACTGTAGGCGGTTTTCTTCCCACCTAAACGCTTCCTCATCGACCAAACAGTTATTTAAAGTTTTTAAAAATTTTAAGATGGCACCACTAACGCAACACGTTCCTTGCAGTACACCCGCCTACAACGTAAATAATTAATTTTAAAACCTTTTAGCTTGCATCAGATGATATTAAGTTAAGAGAAAAAACAGTGGGTGAGGATATATATATAGGAGATTACTTTAACGCAAGCGTAAAGCTAACTGTATACAATATATCACCCTGTTGAGAGCTCGTAAATTCGGTGTTTTCATTTAAGACCCGATCGAGCACCAAGAAACAAAAAAATTGGGTGAGTTGCTCAGAGTCGGGAAACCTGGCTGGCAGTGGTGGGGGCGTTGCCTCCCCCGATGGTGGTTTTTAGTGGTCTTCCACACATTAGCCGAATGGCGGGAGTCCGGGTCCGATATTTTCCGCTTTTTCAGTTTTTCCAGGAGTCATGATGATATAAACCCCTTCGGGGGGGAGATGGACATTCGTGCCCGCTTAGATCAGATTAAGCAGTATATTAGGCCCTCTTATAAGGTCTGTCTGTAGTATGTAGGTAATAATAATAATAATAAAACGCAACTTATGCCATAAAAATTAGCTGTTTTAATAAATTATGAGCTCATGGTACATCACTTAGCCATCATAACGATTATGTGTATGCGTCTGGGGTTCCGTTACTCAAGAGAAACCTTTACTACTTCGCATAAAAAAATATCAAATAAACTATATAAAATGTAGTCTGAATTGTTAAATTAAAAACTGTAGCCCTAAGGCTGGGATGTATATCAAGGCTTATAAATTACCACGAAAACATTTTTAGAGAATGGAAAGCGTAGTGAGGGCAAATTTCCTATTTGTTTTAGTTGTATCTATATTATAGATACTTTAGAACACGAGTCCTGTTTACAGTCGATTTTTTATCTTACAATTGTTTTTAAGCAATAATTCAGATATTTTTCCTAAAGTGTATTTCTCTTGAGCATATTTCTTTAGATCGCTTTGTAAACAGTAAACTATTTTCTTCAAGTTGTTATATGGAATTAATATTATCCGAATAAGATTTGCTAACTAATTTTTCTTTTAAACCTTTTATATAATAAAAAAACTTCATAAGAAATTTAGAAAACCTTAAAGTGCTCTCTATTTTTCCTTCTGGATAAAAGCGGTACGTTAAAAGTCGGTCGCTTGGAATTATATGAATGGTGAGTATGTAGGCTCAATTAAAATGGCGTCAGAAAGCGAAAGGGCAAGCTGTGCGCCTAGTAGTTTACTTTCCCTTAATCACTTTTTTAGCTCTAAAAATGCTCAGTTTATTCATTTTTGAACTCAACTTGGAGAGGTGTTTAGTAATTATTATTTAAGATTTTTTTATTCTACTTTAACCTAGTTTGTTTCCATTGTGTTAATTTTTAAGTCTGACACTAAGTTGGCGATTGAAGTACCATTTATACAGTAGTTTACATCTTTTATAGTAAAAAATATTATTTAAAAAGCGGAATTAATTGGTCACCAGCGTAAATGTTTTTAAATTCTAGTAGATAAAAGAAGTACTTTTAAAAAAGCAAGCAACGAAGGAAATTAGATTGAACAAAATTTTTTTAGTTAACATAACAACTAATATTAATTAGTAGTTAATACTCTCGAGGTGCGAAGCAAAATGTTTTATTTAATTTTGTAGTTATTAAACTTTGAAAGTATTCAATCTTTTTTAACGTAATAATATTATAATTGTTGAGGAAGGTTGGAGTCTTATAATAATCTGTCACATATATGTATTAAACTTATCAGACCACTTCAGGTGTTTTAAAAACTTAATTTTTTTTTTTATATTGATATGGCATTCATTCCACCACACTGTTGGTAAGCAATTATTATGAGCCACTATATTTTCTAAATAGAACGTTTTATAAACAATTTTTTAAAGAAAACATTGTAAGGCATGGTTTTTAATAAAATGTTTGTGTTTTGAAGATGGACAAAAAAAACTTTTAAAAGCTTTTATACATAGAGTACAATTTAAGTTGAACTTGAAACTGCCAACTTTTTAAGATGACTTAAAAATTCTTGCAAACTAACGTCTTCTGTTAGTAAACTATCGACTTCTTCGTACAGTTGCTGATTAGTAGGTGGGTTGACCTTAAAAACAAATTAGCTATTCAGATAATACAGTTCAGCTTTTACCATAGCTGTAACCTTTGCCAATAAAAATCTAGCTTGGCTCCCGCCCTGATCAGTATCTATAAAGCGAGGGACTGGGAACCTATCAGAGATAAGCGCGCGCGCGTCAGCCACTAAATTTCGGAATTAGAATATTTAGTTTACAAAAAACACAAGGTAAGCCCAACACTTCATCATTGCGCTAATAATTTTTATATAAATAAAACACCGGGAGCTTCCAAAAGCTGGCGGAAAGCGGTATGTTCTGGCATGTTTTGGTATCCTTGCGCTCGCCAAGAAGCAATGGTGCTGCCGTACCAAATGACAATATGAAAGAAAGAATCAAGTAGAAGTATGCATTCCTAACGCACAAATAAACAAGATAATCAATAATAAAATTAATATTTCTTATAAAAAAGTGAAATAAAGCTTCAAAATAAACTTTGGATAATGCTGAGGAGTCCAAAGCCACAGGGGTGCAACCCTCGGCCAGCGTATATTTTTGCAAAGTGGGCTGTATCATTAGCAGAGAATCAAAAACATCGGCGCGATTTAATTTATTTCTATAATATTAATAAATATCAAAAGCCTTAAAAAACTCAACTTGAAAAATTAAATAACGCACCAGAGCTGAGTTGTAAGGATTATAAAATACCTATAAAAAGAGGTTTCGTCAGGGCTATTGTTAAAAACTCGTAAAAACTGAGAGCGACGCAAATGATACATAAATTGAGGATAAAAGCGGAACGCGGGTGATAGAGCAAACGAGTTGGGATCGTCTTTAATAAAGTCCCCAAACCGCTGGCACTGAAGGAAGCTATCAAAGTACTTGCCTTATCGATTTAATTAACTCAATACAAGCTTGATAAGAGTTCTATCGAGCCAACGAATCGTATTCAAAGACTCATCAGCCTCTGAGCGGTACACAGCAACGCGAGCCATTAACACAGCCGCAGCCTCTTGGTCAAAGGACTCAGCCTGAAACTTTGGGGGCGCCTGAACAGTGGACCAACTACCGCGTAAAATAGGTATTGTGATAATACATTAATGAATATAAGTGAGAACATTGTTACTTTCGGGCGACCGTAGTCACGCGCAATCGGTGAGAGCCGTCCATAGCTTGATACTGGGTGGTAAACTGAATAAGGCCTATAAAAGAAGAATTCAAAAAAAAAAAAGAGACTAAAATAAGGATATAATACCAAAGGGGAGTTGGGTGGACTGCGTGTGCGGGTTGGCCACCTCAAAATAAAAAGCAAGTGTGGTAGATGGATCAATGTGACCCTGCCGCCAAGCGCAAGTCCCCCCTATCCCAATTTCCTATACATAAAAGAAACTTGGATAACACGATATGCTATATAAGGAAAAAAACACATTTTCGGACACATGGGCGTCTTTTTTCAACAAAGAAACACAAGAACCCACGACTCCATTTATTTTAAGTTCCTTTGAAGTCTAGTATTTTAATAACATTTTAACACATATTATTGTAAATAATAATTAAAAATATATAATAACTTTGACTTCTAAAACGGCGTTAAAGTTAAGATTATATTCTTTCGTTTTCTCATTTTTAGAAAATGACCGCAAATATGTTTCCTTAAATATTGCGGAGGCAAATGAATCTCCTAACATCTAAAGGTAAAAAAACAATGTAACTGCAAATATTTATCGGTATTAAAACTGAATAACCAAATGACCACCGGTCTTATTTACTAAATTTTTCATCTCATATATGCCTGTTTGGTCATAGTAACACGAATAAATGTCCACGGAATGGCCAACGTTTGAAATACGCGTGGCCAGTCCATCATAAAACTGTAAAATGCGTATGTATACAAAGTTAAAAAAGAATTTTAAGCAAATATTCGTTCAGTAATAATTACAAATAACAAACTTAATATTATAGGTAGCAAAAGATAGGAAGAGAGATTAAGCAATTAATTTAATAACAAGTAAAGAGTGTCATGAGGAATATTGAAGAAATAACCAGCATAAAACTATAAAAAGTAAAAATTTGTTTAAACATACACGAGAAGCCTTTCTAACATAACTGGCTGAACTTGTCTTTTGAATCATATCGTGATGGGCGCGAGTTTTTTCCTATTACAGCGAAAACATTAAACTGAAGACCTTAAAAATTAGAAAAGTTTAAATTTATAAATTCTAGTAGAAAGACCGAAAGAGAAGTAGGAACGATCATTCCAGGCCCCTGTGTACAAGCTCCACCAACAAATACCATAAGGCAGGCACCCGTGTTAGGAAACGCATTTTCAAGCAAACCCACAGCTACCGAGAGAGCAGAGCCTTTAAAATAGTAATAGTATATTTTAATTTATAATAAATTCTTAAAAACAAAAATAAACCTGTTGATCTTAGAGGGCGGTGGCGAGGTGGAACTGGCCAGGGATCAGTTTGAAGTTCATCGAGAAGAGATGTAAATACCATTTCGCAATGTCCCAGGGGCTGAAGAAATCTAAAATATTAACCTTTCTTAATTATAATCCAAAAATTTAAATAACTTTTATTTATACTCCTTTATAATTTTTTAGGTTTTATTTATTATTAAATACCGGCCTGATCCTCGAATTGCCCCATTTTGGTTACTAGAAATTTGAGGGACGGTCAAATCAAGATAACTTTCAATCACCTTTGTGGAATACTCTTTTGTGCCTTGAAAAACAACAGATCGTGAACACACTCCGGTGCTGCTTAGTTCATGGACGTGCACCTATATTTTTATGAAAAAGTAAAAGTGCTTGCGCGTACGCTAACCAGAAAAAGGGCATACAACATAAAGTTAAAAAGGAATAAACAAACCATCTTCCCAAATGTTATTAAACCAACGAGAGCATTCTGAGGAATATGACTTAAGGAAAGAAGGAGTGTGTCCTTTAAAGCCTACAGAAAAAAATAATTATTATTGTTGTTATATAAAGATTTTATTTTTTAAGTAAAAATAAACTCAATAGACAAAAAAAAAACCTAAGTAAACACTACAATAAGAAATAATATATAATATACTGAAAAATCCGTTTGATGATCTGTAGAGTCATCACTTATCACCGTGTCTACCACAAAAAGAAAAATCGGAGGTAAGAGTGTTTGCGGAGCTCTCGGTAGCCGATACTCTATTGTAGTAAATTGCGGATACAACTCAACAGGTAAACTTTGCTCTGAAAGATTTCCATATATTGAAGGAAATTGGTTGCGCGTAAAACAAAAAGGGCAGACCCATGTCAGATTTTGAAAATCAACTTGCTGCCGGCTTATGTAACCAAAATAAAAACAATAATATTTTGCACAAAAAATAATATAAAAAAGATTTGATAAAACAACTCTCACTTAAATATAATAATAAATTTTTTTTAGATATTGAATACTGCTGGTGCGCACCAATATGGGTTTAAAATGGCCATACAACTGTTTTTCGTACACCGAATAGGATCAATTCTCGGAAAGTAAGAGGTATCAATTTGATCCCCAAATGCTTTAAGCGGTGTAAACAGACATCCTACAGGGACGATAAGGCGTTGCGCTTCGATACGTGATAAGGGCCACACATTCCAAGAAAACCGAATACCATCCCTATCTTCATTTTGCTCTATAAATTGTTGAGAAGTGCTCATAATGCCTAAAGTGAATCTTGATAAAAATTACAGCAGCGAATATAAGGTATATATTATTACCTTAAATAAATTTATAAGTTACACGCAGTTATAGGAAGAGAGTTATATCAGCTGGAAAGGGGATATAGAGCGATAAAAAAAATGTGATAAGGTGGACAAACGAGCTGTGGTACGTGGACAGCTTGTACCATAGTTTAGCAGTTGCAGGGGTCACGCCTTAGCAAGGCCATAATTTTGTTTACATAAGTTATAATTTAAGATGATAACGGTAATAGTGATTAATTGAAAATCTATTAAATACTAGAGTTAGTTTAAAACAAGTTTTTAATACAATTATATATGCTTTACATGTTTAATAAGCGATCCAGCCTTCAGTAGCAAGTTGTTAATTATTGACAAATTCGGTCATATATATATAAAGTGTACTTGTTTTCATTTTAGTTTTAAAAGCAAAAAGGAAACGGTTATAGTCGTTCTTGTACATTTTTTCTTTGAAAGAAGTACTATTATAGTGGAAGATTTGTTTATTTATTAAGGGAACAAAATAGTTTTTATTGCTTTATTAGGAATGATAACGTTAAATCGTAAAAATAAATATTAAATTTATTGACACTGCATAAAATATTAAAAGCGGATAGTTGCCCTTATAAATTAAACAAATATTGGCTACTAACGTTGAATACGATAAGCGTTCATATAATTAGCGATAGAGACGAATACAACTAAAAAATATGTATTTGCCAATAAAAAGATTTTTTTTATATAATTCGTCTCACTGATAACTTTTTTAATGGTTTTAGCTATGAATACTTTTACCATCCGAATTGTGTAGGGTGTAAGAAAACACTTGCACCACTTAAAATCCTCTGTAAGTCACTTGACTATAAAAATTATAACTACACATTTGTTATAAGCGTACTCTTAGCTTCCAATAAACTTGCTACATCTTTATCTTTTCTAGAAGCAAAAAATGCTTATAATATATGTTTTCTACAAAAAGGAAGCGCCCCCTAAAGAGAAGGACTCTTTTAGAATAATACTAAACGAAAAGTGCTACTTTGGCGTTTAACAGTAATATATTTTTCTAGACTCATTTTCCACTAAATTCCTTGTTAATTTGCATTCAATAATACATGGTGAGCCCTTAGAAAAAATTTTATTTTTTGAAGTTATCAAGTACAAAAATAAATAATTATAATAAATAAAAAATAATGAAATATGACAAGTAAAAAATTAACTTTAGTAACGAGTAAAATTATATATTAAAAAATAAAGTTATTTGCTTAGCACAACCGCCATACATACGGTAAAATACTGCGCTAAAAATGTATCTTTAATGTTATTTTAAATAATTTGTTAAACTAAAAAAAACCTCTACTTACTCAAGCGATATATAAGTCTTCCAACAGGAGGGAATGGTATTTGAAAAGTTTAAGAGACCATTATTTACAAAATTGTTCAAAATATCTCGAAGATTTGCGTTTCTACTCTTCTTTTTTTCCTGCTTTCTCTCTCCAGTCAGAAGTTTTTTTTTGCTTTACATCTTTTTTCCCTCACCTTCATCTACTTTCGATTTTTTTCTTTCTTCTTTAATATTATTTTTTTCATTCCAGTTTGTTACAATTCCTTGCCCCTACACGCACACTTTTCTATTTATCCGGCGCCTTATCGTTTCCTAATATCACTGTTATTAACTTTTTTTGTTCTTATCTTTAGTTTGTACTCTGAAAAAAAAAAAAATTAAAGCAAATCCACGGCGCTACGTAACCAACTTCATAATTAAACTTCCTGGTGCTTAAATTATTAAGATTGATTAGCTTTTTTTTTATATAAGGCAGTTAAAAAAGTCTAATCATGTATTGAGTATTACAACATAGCACTAAGATTAAAAAAATAAATAGTGGTGGATTGCAAAGGTTATCTACAGAGATTAGCGAGGGACTTAAAGTAGGGCCATTAAAGTATAGAATATTTTGTTCTAGTATAGAGTGCTAGAGCTATGCTTCTTTGAATTTCAGTTACTAGTTCACGCTATAGGAGAGTTTTAAAACCTTTGTGAGAAATTATTATTGGCCTTGTTTTAATAATTTCTTACTAAAACAATTATACGTTTTATAATTTTTCATGTTTTATTTATTGCTGCCGTGGAGGGAAAGTTGATGGGTTTTTTTTATCAGTAGCCTGACGTTAATAGAGGTTTGTAAATAATTCGATATCAAAGACGAGCTGCATCACCCTAATTATTTGTCGTTTACTCATTTATGATATAATTTAATTTACACTTTATAATTATTATTATTATTTAATGATAAATAATACATATATAAAAGTGACAAAATACATGTAAACTAGTATTTCAGTATGCTTAATCGACAGGTATTAGTATAAGTCATTTAGTACATATAAGAAAAACAGCGTATTATAGTATATTTATATATTATCACTTAAATTATTTTATTATTATTATTATGATTTACAGGCCTTATTACTTATTTTTCTCTAATTATTCTTGATAATAAAATCGATTTTTTTTTTTGGTTTGTTTAGTAGTTCCTGTGTTCTTCTTTCTACTTATAAGTTGCCCTTGGACCTGGTATGCAAACATATAATATGAAGACGCTCCGAAGGGAGCTGGACCTTCTTTCGTGACTCTTATAGCTTAAGAGGGAAATAAGGATTATACAGCAAAGGTTTGCTGGACGTATGGAACTGTAGGATGTTAGTAAAAAAAAATAAAAATAAAACGAACTGTAGTTTTTGCAACTTTAGTTGGCGAGTCATAATACTTTACAACCTTGTTCGTTTCCATTAAAACTGTCTAAAGCTTTTAAGGACCACCTTATCTCTGTTTAGTTCCTTACAAAGCTAACAATTTAATTTCATCGCTCTCATCTTTTTTATCTTGATTCTTCTCTCGAAAGCACTGTAAAGAAGAAAACAAAGCTCTCTTTTTATACACGATTGCCTTTCGTGATCTTGTCCGTCGCTAAATCCTACTTCGTTGTGCGAAGTTGACTTTTATACCTTTTATTCTTGAAATCAGATTATTAAAGCAAGAGTTTGATTACTGTAAAACCTAGTATGACCATTTTTGAGAGACGTTCCCCCATTTTAGTACTTTAAAAAAAAAAAAAAGGTAATTTTTAATACTTTTCATGAATAAGCGTAGAGAATTACTTTCGTAAAGTCAAAGCTATAATTTTTAAGACTATTGTTTGCATATTTAATAAAGCCTGAGACACTTTTTTTCCAACATGAAGAAAAAGAAAACTATACTGTTTAGGTTTATGAGAATTGGGTTATTTTTTTAAAGTAAAGACTGACTGCCACTTTTTAAATAACAACTTCAAGTTAGCTTAATCTAAAAATTCTTCTAAACGAGAATAATTAAGGTTATAAAGTAATAAGTTATAAGTTATATTAGAACAAAATTCATGATAAACGAATTTTACGGGGTAATTACCTTTTTTTATCTCAAAGTATTAAAAACTTTTGGTATCATCAGCCAATAGGCATAAGGAAGTGAAACAAAAAAGCTCATCTTTTTATAAGAGTTTACTTGGCAACATTTAGACTATAAGTTAACCGAAAATCCCAAATAGCTATAAGGCAACAGATTTTTGAACATTGTTAAAGACTAATGTTGCTTTAAGAAACATAGCAGACTGAGTATTTGTGCTTTATTGTTTTTCAGAGTAGCTTGCATAGATTGATACCATCAAGCATTCGTTCAAAACAATACTCAAAACAGTTATTCTAGATTTTAGAAGCCGACTGCTTCTTTGGGAGAATAGAAATGTCTATAGAACCGTTCATTTAAAAAACTTATATGAAGCGTTAGTACTTCAGGAGAAAGGATGAACTAATAAGTCAATGTTTCACTGCTCTAAAAACTCAGGTATCTTTTGAAGTGTGTGAGAACCCGCTTTGTTTTAAGGGAGCGTTGTACATTATTTTTTTTGGATACAAAATTAAATCCTGTAATAGAAAAGTTTATTCAACTTACACTGTTTTTGATATTGTAAAGGATCTGCCGGTACAATTTTACCTCGAGTTACGTTTGTTAAAACCTCTTCTTGAATCTGTTATTTATGTTTTTTAGTTGGACACCGGCTTAAAGTTTTACAGAACTCCATGACGCCAGCCTTTTAAGCTTTATAAAAGAGATGCGGGATTTAAAGGGGAAACTAACTTTTATATATGTTCTTCAGCCAAATTCTTTTAAATAAGTTAAGTGCATCCTCCTTTGTCACACAGCATTAATTACTTTTGAGACCGTTATATTTGTTGGACTTATTTTAAGAGACTCGATTTAACAGTATGCGAGTGGTATATTGTAAATAAATGTGATCTTCAAAGAGAAGAACTAAACTCGGCAAAATTATCCGAAATAATACTTAAAAATTAGTGCACGAAATAATACTTCAAAAAGTTAACTTTCCACCTTTAGTTTACTTTGGAATGTGGCTAACTGCTCTCTCTATGTGGTTGTAATCTTGTTTCTTAATATGTATAAACATAAAGACAAACTAAGCTTTTAAATTGCCTAGTCACCCTGAAAATAAACTTACTTTTACAGGCTTTCTACTTGTATGACTAATTTTATATTAATTAGTTATCAGACAACGCAGCCTATTTACGGTGTTCAGTTATTTTACGTACTCACTTTTTATAACTCTTATTATTATGTAAAGTTTAATATAACTAAGTTAATATGTTTAGCTTTCATATTTAACTTTAGTTAATAAGTGTTTAGCTCAGGGCATATAATTTATAAAAACCTTCATCTACGTGATAAACACTATGAAAGGCGAGGGTATATATAAAAAGTTCGCCGACTTCTTATAGGTATTTTTTTTTATCAATAACCTCTTTTCTCTCATTCAAAAAAGTTATGTGGTTACTTTATTGCTGTATGAAATCTTTGAATATGCTCGCTGGTGCTAAAATTCTGAATGTTTTTGAGCACAATTATTCGTAATATATAAATACGTCATAAGTAAATTTAAAACCTTCAAAAATGTTTCCTGTTCACTACTAATTTACTTTTCTATCCATGACGGCAACATTTCTTTTATATAATTAACTTTGGTTTTTTGTAATACTTTCAGACAACTTCCCCTGTGGAATAATATTATTTATTATTTTTAATTTAAATATCGTTATTGTTACCTGTATAAATTAATTTTTAATTAATATTGTATTTTGGTTATTATAAACGTTCAATTAATAATTTATGAATTTAAATATATTAAGTGTTATTACTTTTGATAACTTTTAATATTATTTATTAAGTACAGTTAACTTACTACCAACTTTGAAACAAAGAAAAAGAGGAGAAGCGATTCCGTTTACTGCAATCGATGAAATGAGCCAAGGGTGGTAAGACAGATTATTAAAAACTATTACCTATTTCAGTACACCTTTCACATCGACCAAACAAGTGCTTTATCCCGCGAAAAATGCTCATCCACTGCCGACCTCATTTCGTTTTTATGGAAAATTCTTCTACCACTTAATGCCATCTTTACATCTTTAAACAAGTAAAAATCGCTGGGAGCCAGTTCTGGACTGTAAAGTGGATGGTTAATTCCTCAAAGTCCCATATATCGTATAGCACGCTTTGCAGCTTAGGCAGTGTATACCGGCGCGTTATCGTAATAGGAAAATTCCCCTGCTAGGTTTGCCCCTCTCTTTTTTAATATTGACTTGTCGCAAGTGGATGTTTAAGTCAGCATAATTTGCTCGTTCCTCGATCTTCTTCTAAGAAAGTAATCCACTTAAAATATTCTTGTGCTCTGCCAGAATATCGTTGCCATGCGCTGTGGCTTTTCTCCCTTTGACCCTTGTTAGGATTCTGGATCGCACTGATTAATGCATGTTGCAACACAGGTTACAAACACGATGACAAATAGCATTAGATCATCATAATCACCCGAACTTTTTACTCTTCATCTCGGACCTAGAGGCGTTGACATTTTAGTTAATGACTATGAAGGATTCGTTCAACACTATCCTTGCTGATCATTAGTTCCTCTGCCATCTAACGAACCCAAATTTTACGGTCTTGTACTTCCACTCTTTTAATATTCTTTTTCCGTAAACAACCATGCAAGATCGCCTTTAATTAATTGTCTTTCTTCGTAATAAGCTGTCCATAGCGTATGATAGAGCACATGGTGGATAAGTGGTCAATGTTACCTCGTTGATTTCTTTAGCATATTTAGCTTTTTTTAAAGATACTTTATCATAGAACGGTAATCAAATTTTTAAAATGACAAGGTTATAAAGTGCAAAAGGGGGACGCGATGAACACTGTAAAAACACATGGAGCAATAAGCAGACCAGCATGTGGATTAAGATGAGCACGTGATTTATAAAAATTATCAATACTCTTTCAAAGATTAATAATATTTTTATATGTGATTTTTACCCATAAAATTTGAATTATTTATTTATTTACCAAAAATATCATTGAACTTTTTTTAACGCTTTCTCGTTTTTTGCATAAATATTATAAAATAACTTTAATTACAGGATTTTATTGCAACAAGCAAACATTCTCGATTAGTTTCTCGATTAGTCTTTGCTGGAACGGAAGCGCGTGGACCCCGTAAGTGCCAATCAACGTCGGGCCAAAAATTATAGCGAGGTTCGAGGTAGTCATCATATTCACGTGGCTGTATTCAACAACTCTTAAAAAAAATACTTTTATAAATATAGTGAAAAAGTTTATTACTAATACTAAAAACTTATTAATAATAAAGTTAATCAAATTTACTGTTCATAAAAAGTTCTAGGTAAAAAAAAGGTATACAGCAGTTTAATAAAAACACATTAAAGTTTTTAATATAATTAAACTTCTTATCAAGAAAGTTTTCTATATAAAAATTTATTAAATGCAAAAAATCATAGGAAAGTTTCGTTTGCCAGTCGACTTTACTTATCGTTCTAATTTTTGAAATGCTAACAAAAATTATTTTTAATGGTAGAAAAACTTAATTTCTCTAGGAGTTAAAGAATATGAAGTAAAAATTTTTAAATTATAAAAAATTAAGAATAGTTAGTTCCTACCAATTGAAAGATTAGTAATATTTTATATACAAATGTTTACTATTGAAAGTTTTGGAAAATTTTAGAATTCATTTTCAAATAATAACTTTCATAAGACTTTAAAAACATTTATTATTTCTATTATTAATATAACTTTTTTTTAATTATTATTAATTATACTCAATATTTATAATAAATGTTTGAGCTTTAATAATAATAGCATTACTCTTTAAAGATGTTGTAATATTTGTCAATTTTTTTTTTGCAAGATAATATTAAGAATATTACATAATAATGAATAATTTTAAGTTTGAAGTAAAAAGTACGAAGTAAAACTTTTCAGAATAGTTACTAATAATACAAGAAAGGTTTAGATAAAACTTTCCGTAAATACTAAAACGATTATCATTATTATTAAAAAAACGTTACAACGATACAGAAATTAAAATAATATCAAATTCATTGACATAATAATAACAAAATAAATCTAAAACCGAGCAAGATGGCGTAGAAGATACAGCAAAGTTTCCTTATGGCAATAAGGTAGTTGACTAACAGCAATGCTTAGTTTATCAGCTAAATAATAATAATAATAATAATAATAATAATAATAATAATAATAATAATAATAATAATAATAATAATAATAATAAAGAAAAAAGGAACTACTTAACCACTATAATATTAGTAGTATCAACCAAGAAGAATTTGAAAAAGCAACCAATAGAAAGACGAACCTTCCAAATTATATAAAAAGTTAGTAAACAGCTCAGCAGGAATTAATGGAACAGGAAGTTCATTAAGGAACAACTTTAATAAACCTTGTATTAATAAATAATAATACTTTAAAGTTTCATAAATAAATTCGTATGTGAATAATAAAAGTTTATTAGAAATAAAAAAGCGCTAAAAAATTAAAAAAACCAATCGGGTTGTTAACTAAATTTTTTTTGAAAATTAACCAATCAGATTCTTATAAAAATGAGCAATTTACCATAAAAAGTCAACAAGCATTTTTAAAAAGTGTAATTTGTAAAAATATAAATTAATCAAGTGTTTAATAAAAAGCACAACTTGTAACGATGGGCGCTTTTTCCGCTTTACTAATTTTGTTGAAGTCAACAATGCCGCCGTGGTTGATCTCGTACTGGAGTTTTCGGACCGAATGAAAGGAGCCAGAAAGCCGGTAAATGCCAGGAAATTTCAGTAGATCTTCGTAATTATTTAATAGAGAAATGAAAATGGTTCGAAAAATTTTAAAAAATATTATTTCAAAGTAAATTATTTATTTAAAATATAATTATCACTATTATTCTCTTATGCATTTATTATTAGTCAACATAAAAATATTACCATTTTTTTCAAGATATTCAACACAATGCTTTACTAAGTTGGGAAACTTTGAACTCTCACGCAAGCATAAAGACTCCAAAGTGCATCCAAAGTAAAGATCTATTAAAAATTCTCCGCTAATAAATTTGCATAATATTTAAAAATCGATAATAAAAATTTTATACAAAGTAAATTCATTGCAATATTGACTGCACTACTTCTATATATTACTATTTATTTTGAAGTACTAACATATAAAAATTTCTAATAAAAAGTTTCAATAAATTTGAAGAGCGTTTACAAAAATGCTGCCCCTCTTGTGGATATAAAAAATTTTCAAATATCAGCATACTTGCGCCATTATTTTAATTATTATATTGGTAAAACGCATGTATTATCAATGTCTTAAAAAGTCGTTTATATAACTCTAAATCCCCAACAAAAAATTCAGTTAATTTAAGGAACTGTCAAAAAAAAATAACGCCAACTTATGTATATGAATACTAATTTTGTTTTCCTTATTATTGAAATTACCTTTTATGATTCCCTTCTTTCTTACTTCTGAAAGAGTTGGACGCCGAATCAAAAGTTTGAAAAGTCGAAACTTTTTTTCTTTGTTTATTTTTCCAACATTATAAGTCAATTTTTTATGTTTAGCCCAACGGTTCACTAATAAAAGATAGATTAAGTAAATCTATAAATCTATAATTATAAACCTTTTGGCTCCTGAAGATGAAAACCAATTCATTTTTTTATATAAAGTTATTAATTAAATAACAATAAAAAACTTGTTTAACAATTATAATTTTTTTAATGTATAAGTAAAATAAATTAATTAAAAAAGGGTATAAAACTAAAAAGCTTATAATCAAAAATTCAAGTAAACAAAAATATTTTTTTCTTATTGCTATTAAATATCACGTGATGACCGCACAATGCATTGTTGATTGGCAGACTAAATTCGCCAGCACCTAAAAGGATCACAAAAGTGAACCCAATAAGAAATAAAGGCTACCAATATCCTTCTAAATAGGACTTTTGTTTAAAAAGAGCCAAATTAATGAAACGGAAGAAAAATAATAAACCGAGCCAAAAAAAGGCGAGCAGGAAGAAGCCCGCTCTACTGAGGGCAGGCATAACTTTTGAAGGGTACAAGTCCATTCCAATAATGCAGTGGCCGTCGGGCACTCAAAAATATATGTGCTGCACGCTAAAAAGTAATAATTATAATTATTTACATAAGAAATTTATTTTGTTTTAACATTATAGTGCGCTAAATACCAATTCGATAGTGCAGTTAAAATACCAAAATGCGCCAATAAACAAGTATTTATAGCAACTAACAAAGTGAGTTATAAAGTAGTGAAACTGTCAAGGTATTCATTTTTATTAGTCTCTTGATAATAATTATTAAAACAAAATGCATTTATTTTACTATAGTATTTATTATAATATAATTATTTATGCATCAGAACTTTTATTCTTTTTATATAAAAATAATTTATTACTATTTCTTTATTTTTATCTCAAGGTTATTAAAAAAAACCTAAAAAAAAAATAAATATTTTTTAAAAACCGTTAAAAATAGTAAAATCAGTAAAAAGTTTTTGTTTAACTTCCTAAATATTTTTATTACTTCGACTAATCTTCATGGCATTACTTAATAGCATTTTTCATGTTTATTTCTTACCGTTATATAACCTCTAACCTGTAACGTCAGCACCACAAGCTTATAAAAACTGTTAAAGAAACTAGAAAAATAATAAACAATACTAAATTAAGTGAAATTTATATAAAGTAAGCAGTTCAGTAAAAGTTTTTTTTAATGTTAAAAATAACAATACCAGAAATACCGTCGAAAGAATTGAGTCTAAATTGATATTTTTTATTAATCTGAAAAATTGGTTCGACGGTTTTTGCTAGAAGCATTATTTCGCGAATCGGCCGTTTCTTTATAAAAAATAATGCATCGTAAATAATAGATAAATAAAAGAATCACTCCACAGCAGTAGAAAAATGTCAAATTAAAAATTAAATAATTTAGATAATGATAAAATTATGTATCAAGGACAAACAGAAATACTTTTACGTGCAAAACTAGCGAGAAGCTTTTTTAAAAGCTATAAATTAAGATCATATTATATTTAAAAAAAATAATGTTAAAATCACAACCAAGAAATATTATATACAAATAAAAAATACATTTTACATCGCCAATAAAATCTTTAGAAATCATATACTACTGTAAAAGTAACGTAAAATTAAGTAGCAGCGTGGATAAAGCTTAACTTTTTAAAAAACTTAATTTATTTTTAATGTAAAAAAGCAGAAAAAATTTTGCAGAAGCGTAATAGTACACACAAAACTTCGGCATGTTAAAATAGTGATGAAATGTACACTTAGCGCTTTGTGGTTTTTATATAATTTCAGTTTGGCGTCTTCCAAAACGCAATAAAAAATAGGCCATTTCCTCCTAAAAAGTAAGATTATATAAAAAATTAATAGAAAAAATAAAATACAATTCGATTAATACGCTTTCTTTTATTAATATATTTTTAATAAAAAAAGTTGTTCTAAAAATTTTATTATATAGGTTTTAATATGCATATTTTACTCACGCACGGAATTAATTTTAACAAAATTAAAGGATTACAGATTTTAAGAGAAAATAAAAGAGTTTTTACGATGTTATACTGATAAGGGGTTCTTATTTTTTTAAAAAACGAAAGAATGCTGTGTAAAGATTATCAAGATTCAACGTTGGCAAGTAAAAAGTAATTTTATTTGATTAAAAACAAAGATTTATAAAGCTAAAACTAGTTCTACTGTATTAAAAATTACTAAAATACTAACAACCATAGTTGGAATTAAATAATAAAAAAATTAAAATTCAAATTTCATCGGATTACAGGAGCAATTCACTTAAAAGTTAATTAAAGTTTATTTATACGCAAAACTATATCTATCCTAAAAAGTTGTTGTGTGTTTTGTAAAATAAATTAATAGTTCTTAATTATAAATTTAAACAATTTTCACCAAACCAACTAATAAAGTTACGCTTTATTAAAGTTAACGAAGAGCATAAGCTAAAGTTTTTTAATATTTAAAAAAACTTTAATTGCTTCTTAAAAAGTGCAGAATCATATTTAAAAAGTAAATTCTGTTGGTAAACGTAACAATGATTTAAAGAATTATAATTCAAAAATAAAAATGAGAAATTAAAAAGATCAAGTTTAAGAATAGGCCACCAGAATTTTCCTTGTAGTCGGACCCTCAAATATCCTGACTTTTTCTTAACCTTAAAAAACAATAAAAGGTATAAGACAGTTCACTAAGAATCGAATAATTGACGATGACAAATGAAAAAAATATATATCCTATACATACATATAAATATATATATATATAGACTACCTCTTTTTCAACTTTTGCTATGGTTTGCGAGGATACCGGTAAAGGAGTACTATTTACTAGTTTAGTAGCTGTTATCAATAATTTCATTTTAAAATTAAAAGGTTGAAGGTTTAAAAAACTTTCAATAAGGTCGGCCTGCAACGAGTATTCGGACGTAGTTGAAACTATTGAAATATCTACGATACAGGAAGATGACTGCTCACTAGTTAAAAAAAAGTATTGCCAAAAGCCAAAGGAAGACACCTTACGATGAGTAGCCTTAATTTCTTTATACGAATAGTGATTTTTTTGAAGACTGAGGGATTTTTTTAAAGAAGTTAATAAATGAACATTCTAACGAAAATATGTAGGAAAAGAGGTTTATAGTGAGAAATTGTTATTTTAAACTACCGTATAGTTTGGTAACTCGTTACAAGTCATGTTGGTTTCTTTAAAGACATCAAAAGTAGAAAGTCTTGAGCTTAATACTTAAAAAAATATTAAGGCAAACAATTGAGTTTATAAAACTCAATAATTTAAAGTATTAAAGGTTACCTGCTTTATTAGTACAGATAAGTGGGGACGCCCATAAACTGGAAGAAGTTCCACAAAGATTGTGCCTCATGACCTTAGATTTTTTGGCTTTTATTAAAAAAAACTAATTCTTATTTTTGTAATATAAAATTACATCGAAGATTTCCAGCGCTTAAACCTATATAAAAAAATATATAATAATTTCATGCAGATAGCAGTCCTCCAGTAACAAGCTTATGACTCTATCAATGTGACATAAGCTAATTTTATACCGCACTGTAAGGAAAAAAAAAGTACATAATATATGTAATTATGTATAGTAGGAATTAAGAAATAAGCTTTAAATTAGTAATGAAGATGCAAACTTTTTTGCCGTAAAGTCAGTTCTATAACTCATATACTTTCACCAGCAAAAAAAACGAAATTAATATTTTAGGCTTTCAAAGCATTGTAATTGGTCCGCAAAAAAACTTCAATGACTATTGAGTTGAGCGAAAGAAACCGCTAGATTTTGTTGGCTAGTTTATTAAAAACGTTGCTTCGCTTTGTTAAAAGTGTATTGCCTAAAATATTTCAATGAATAAAAGTTTGATTTCTAAAATAAAACCAATTTTTTAATATTTTATGAAGAAAAGTTATTATATAGAAAAGTAATTCTTAATTAAAAAGGTTTTACTTAAACGAAGCGTGCTATTTAAGTTAAAAATATGAAGCTGATTACAGTTTTAAAAGGTAAGTTTTAACTAATTATAATAGAATAAACTAGGTTTTTTTGGTTAGTGAAAGCTTAAATGTGTTAAACCTAATATAAATGTTAGATTCCTTGCAGTTTACTAAATCTTTCCTTAATAGCAAAGAAAAAAAGTGTTTCAGTAATTTTTGTGTTGCAACTGACAGCTTAGAACGGTAGATTTGTTTAACAGGAATTAAATAAGAAATTTATCTGGGTTACTCTCATTTAACCAGCTGAAACTAAAGAATTTTTTTAAAATCTTTTAATTTTTTTCCTTTTAAAATAGCTTTGAATAGTGCTCTGCAACTCTTTGTAGATCTAATTTTAGACAATATAGAAATTATTAAAGTCTTTCCTATTAATTATGTTAAAACATTTATTTATTCTTTAAAAAAGATCTGTATATACGGTTTTTCATGACAAATGCAGGTCATCCTCTGGTAACACCTACTTGGTAAAAGCTATCTACTACGGTTAATATGTTAATAAGACTTAAACCATGGACTCTAAAAAACCCTTTCAAGCTTTTAAATTATTAAAGTGCGTCCCTACGTAGTTAGCACCGTGGCTTACAGCTGTATAATATTTTCGGTAACTATTATCTCGCTTTAAAATTCGGCCTATATATTTTCTATTTTTCGAAGAACCAACTCTACTTAAAAGCAACATTTCATGATTTCACCTTACTAGCTACGTTTAACGTGTTTAGCTTTCTCAAATGTTTAATCTAACACAAGTTGCCCCTTTTTTCCTATATTTTTATATCTAAATAGAACACTGGGTAATAAGAAACTAAGTAGGTGAGCACACAATAAAGGGAAAAGGAATACATTCAATAACATTTATTTAAAGCAAATAGTTGGTAGCATTGAGCGCAAACTGCTTAGGCTTGCTAAGAATTTATATTATTACCTAAGCTTCCGGCAGCTCTCTCCTTATTTCATACATACGAAGGGCGCCTCTATCCCTCTCGAATGTGCAAAATGCGAACGTCAAATATAGCTTACTCCCAACTGGGAGTTCTATCCGAATTTGTTAACTCGATCGAGCACCAGGAAAAGTCGTTTGTAAATATCCAAAAGTGGAATTAAACCTTTTTTTGAGTATCGTTTGGTTTAAAAATATATTAACTCTTTTGTTAAAAGAAAATAACTTTTGTGCTTAAATAATATTTTCTTGTTTTCTTACCTTTTTTGTTCATAATACTCACTTTTTAGGAGTTAAAATATTTTTTGTTAGATCACAGTAATGGTCTACTTAAAAACACAGCTTTATTTTCAAAATTAAAAAATGGTAACAACCCGAACTCTTATTAATTCATCATTCCTCAAACGGGGAAAGAATTAAATTAATATCACAATAGCTGAAGGGTTAAAGTGGAACTATTAGTTTTTTTTATTACTAAAAAATGTTGAAATTATTTCTTTCTCCCTTGAAAAGTTTTGAAAGTTGGGGTTTACTAGCTAAGCGCTAACCGTTTCCTAAAACTTAAAGTAGTTTTCAGTGTTTGTAAGTTATTGAGCCCACCTGTATACTTTGACTTTTTTTTTAAAGCAGTGGCATGCTACCGTCGTTATAATGAAAGTAACAAAATTTATAGTTTACTTTTTGAGTGGTGGGAAACTAACCAATTCTATGTAGCCTAATATATTATTTTTTTGTTTAGTTCTCCTAATAAACTTAGTCGGCATTCCCTCAAGTGAAAGGTTTGGGAGAGCCGTCTTCCAGAAGAGAAGTCTGCCTTACAAGGCCACAGCTAAGAAAAAAGTAAAATTACTAACACTGGTGGTACCTCCATAAAATCTTTTAATAGAAAAATCGTGAGCGGGTAAATATTTCATGAATTAGAGCTACAAATAAAAAAAAAATTAATTGTATAAACCTAAATTATTACTAATGTAATAATTATGTTAAAAAAGCTATTATTCACTGTATTGTGTTAATTTATATATTACTACGATGATTATAAATTGTAGTATTCCTATTTCTTATTAATACTATACTATATTTATGTTTTGACTTTATTATTTACTATTATGATAGCAATTAAAGTTTTTACTTTTTAATATATTAAGTTGTTGCTGTCTCGATATTTTTAAGTTAAAAGGATTATATTTCAAAAAAAGTTAACCTCGTTACAAAGTATCAATGGGATTGAAATGGAAAATGATTGCTTCTTCGCTGTGTTTTAGTTAGCTTATTATTATATTCATCAAAATTTATATAAATAATTTGTTATTGTCTCCTCCCTGCTAAAATATTTTTATAGTTTTAATATAACCATATCATGAGTTTCAAAGAGAAAGTAGGAGTAAGTGACGGTATATTAGCAGCTTTAATTTTACAAAACTAACCTTTCTTACAACTTGTCGATATAAGCTAGTATGTAAATCCTGCCACTTCCACTACTCAAATTCGGTAATAACACAAATATACTTATTATAATGAAACACTGTTACACCTTTCTAATACTTTTTCTCTTTGGAACCCACCTTTTTTTTACACACCCCACTATTAACGGACATGAATTTCATCAAGAAAAGAAAAACACGGTAATAGAAACGAATCGTGTAAAACTTATTAACAACTTTTATTATCCAAATTTGTCGGAGGTATACGAAACTTTTCATAAGTGATGACCAGATATCATTCAGCTTTTAAAGTTTTAGAAATACTTTACATAATACTTGCTTTAAATATTAAATTTCTCTGCATTCTTTTACTTTTCTTCCTTTGCAATAGTTCCTTAAGTCCATTTACTTTTAATCTGGTCGTGGCGTTTTCCTCTGCGATGCGTCCTTGTGTGCTATCATAACATTTATCACTTTCAAGTCTTTCGCTTATTAATTTCATATTAAAAGTTTCAAGTATAGTTGATTTCTTATTATAAATAAGCTGAGACCAGTGGCAAGGGGATAGAGATATATTAATATTCTTTATTGTTGAGGGTTTAATATTACCATTTAGATTTAATAAATATTCTTGAGGAACTTTGCATGTACTAGTAGTGTTACAATTTAGAACAGGATGAACTTGATTATAAGATTTATCCTGAATTGAACGTAAAGTATATGGAGCACTAACCATCGCGAGATCATAAAAACATGGATTAAAAGGTAAATTACGACAATTCATCCCCAAAGGAGGCTTTGGGCCACTGTGATAATTATCAATTAACCCCGCTTCTAATTTGGAAATAAGTGTGAGTTTGCAATTTGGGAACAGTCCGTTTTCAGTCATAGTACCTTCTCTTAATATTTTATCTAACCAAGAAAAAGTAGGTAATCTATGTCGTTTACAGCTTAATCAGTACAAATGATACTATAAAAATTTATACCTTTATATAACAAGGTTTGGCAGGTACTTGGAATTCCAGTTTTTCTTGCGATTCTCCGTTTTAAGGCATGAATATAGTCAAACTCATTCATTTTCACGCGAATGTATACATTGGAGGTTATATAAGTAACAATATAAACATAAAAAGATCTTTCCCACCTAAGAAAATGTAAAATGTGCTGAAATTTTATTATATTAGCGTTACTGTACCAAGGATTGTTATTTTCATTATTAAGTGAAGTATGCAAATTAGTTTGATGACGAAAGCTTTCACCACGCTCCCTGCACATTTTACTTGGATTTTCCTTGAGAAAAATATTATTATTATACCAGCATCTCTTGCACATCTCTTATTAAATATAATTTTTGTTTTTGCGAGGTGTTTTCTAATAAGTTTAAGGTTATACGTGTTAAAAAAAATATAACTTTTGTAGTACGAACCAAAGTATTAATTGTTCGGACTGTTCAGTTTTTAAATTAAAAACGTGAATATTAATAATTTTTAAAGCAACTTAAAAAAAGCACTCGAGAATCAAAAGTAAGCTAAATCACAAAACCACTAAAACTTTGTGATGGGTGCATATATATTGAAATCTAAAAAAATGATTTATCTAAAATAAAATCTTAAAATATTTTCCTTAGATAAAAATTGATCAAAGATTGTGTTAATTCCTTTATAAAAGTTAAACCCTTTTTTTTCCAAAATAAGAGATCATTCGTAGTCTCTGCCTTATTTAGTTTGAATAGCTCCTCCCTTAAAAAAACTAGATAAGAACAACACGCTACAAAAGCTAGAAAGCGTCATACTTCAATAACTTACATCAACTATATCTTTTCTTTATTTATTATTTCTTGTAAGGAAACCTTTTCCACAGAACAGCACAAAAAATTAACTTTTTATATTTTTTTTTGTAAAGTGTATTTTTCCTAAAACTGTTAATACTTGAATCATTAGTTAAAAAAATGTTTGTGTCACGTAAATCTATTATTAGATTTATAAGCAAAAAAAAAATGTAATTTGGGTATATGAAATAATCGATTAACCGAATTAAGAAATGTGGTAATACTTGATAACTTTTAAGTATGCAAACCTATAGTTAGTTCATTAAAGAGATAACTTTTCCCTAAAAGTTTACAGGCTACACTAAGTTGGTA